GTTCTCAGAGAGACGGAGGCTTGCTTTGGGGTTTGCGAACAAGACTCGTTTATGCTTTTCAATTTGACCGTAAAAAATATTCAAACCGAATCCACGGACTTTCTTCTATCTTACAATGACTAAATCCCAAATAGTCTTATACTCTATTCAAAGTATCCAATGTGCACAGCACATTTGACACGTTTTCCCGTGTCAAAACTTGTTTGAATTTAGTCCGTTTTAAGATTTTTTTTCCCACCAGTAAAAAATAATGGTGGGGGGGAAAATGTTAAAACGGGCTAAATTAAAAAAAATAACGTAAAATTTCGATGGGAGTTAAAATGGGAGTTCACGTTAGAATGAGCTTGGCTAACAGCCAATCAGAATCTATTATATATAATCGCGCAATTTGCGGGGGGTCCAGAACAAACTTTCTGGCGATGTTTCGCAGACGGTATTTACGAAGAAAATTCCGGATGTGACGGAGGCTAGATCTCTGCATGAATATTGGCTTCTACGAATCGCGCCGAGTCTTTTTCTTTGGTTAAATAAAAATAATTTTCCATAACTTCATCTTGTGGTTCGCCTTTAACGAACAAGTCTGGAGAGAACTAATATGGAAGCCTGTATGGTCGTTAACTTTGTTAAAATACCCCGGAGGTGGTACTCCTCTTTATTTGCTATACGGGTATGTGCCACCCTATAGGGTATGGTTTTTCGCCTTTTGGGTCTGGGGTAGGGTATCATTTTTTGACATTTTGCCTGGGATAGGGTTACGATTTGGTCGTTTTTCTCTGGCGAATAGGCTACGCTTTCTGCCGGCACAAAAACAATAAAAACGTTAGTAAATATTGATTACAATCTATTGAATAGCCGTCTTTTAGTCTGGGATAGGGTGTACAATTCTTAGTTTTAATCTGGGGTAGGGTATGTAAAATCAAAATTTTAGGTTTGGGACATACAGACATTTTTTATTTGGCGTTTTGTACAAAGTTGCACATCAACTTAGTTCCAAATAAGGTATGAATATATACGTATGTTTATGTATGTGCATAATATCTATATTCACATATTCCACACATACATGTCATACGTACATATATATTCTGGGATAGGGTCAGGATTTTGAGGTCCTGGCGGCACACCCCTACCCAAGTTGGGGTGGTAGTACCCCCCCCCCCCCCCACTCCCGGGTAAAATACTCCTTGTCGTACTCCCGGACAGACGATACCATAAAAAGGTCCCTAACCCTCCTGCGTTGGTACATGATGTCATTACAGATGGACTGCATGGGTGTGATATGGAGGACCGAGCATTGTTATGACTCTTTTAGAATGCTTTTACTTGGTCCATGAAAAAAACAGTCTTTCAGCTAATGCAAAGTAGTAAACCAAACTTTCAAATTTTGTTTTTGTTTTACTTGGTCATGTTAGTCACTAATTATACAAGTTTGTTTCACGTTCCAAGTAAACTCGAGCCGAGGGGTAATTAATCAAGCATTCTCTTCACCGAATACACAACGACAACTTGAGTTTTTCCTCAATGCAAGATAACCTGTAGGGAGGATTTCTACATTCTTTCTCGTGTTGACCAATTCAGTCTTCCCATGACCAGCTACTAGATGCGGCCCGTTTTTTTTTTTGGCTAGCGTCTGCATAATTCCCACTTGTTGAAATGCACCATTTTGAACAATTTTGTACCCAGAGCCCGCGTTCCTCTTGGTCAGTACCAAGAAACGAGTACCTCTTGTTTGCTGACCAAGAGGAACGTGAAGTCTGGGTACGAGATTGCATTTAGAGTTTTAAACCGCATTCTTTTGAAGAGCCAATGGCATTGCAGAAAAAAAGCATTTGACCAATCAGAAAACAGAACAAATAAGCAATGAAAGAAAAAAACAAAAAAAACAAAACAAAAACAAAACAAAAACAACAACAAAAAAAGCAAAAACAAAAAACAAAACAAAACAAAACAAAAAACAAAAACAAAAAACAGAAAAAACTAAAGGGATTTTTTAGTCGAAAGACATTTAAATTTAAATGCATTAGAGTGAAGGCATTTAACCCGTGAAACAAGAAATACTAGTCAAAGGGTAATGGTCGAGTAGACACAAAAGGGAACAATGGAATTAAGGTCTACTAAAGTGTATTAGTCTAATATATATTTCACGGGTTAAATGTCTTCACTCTATTGTTGCAGGAGATTTCAAAATGAATACGATTAAGTGGTGCGCGGGAGTGCAATTTGTTAATCACAATTTTGATTTCAGACCTTATAGTACACTCAACAAAATTAATCAACTCTGATTGGTCGAGAGGAGTACAATTATAGCGTTAATTGTATTCCGTAGGAATTAAGTCGCTATGGCAACACGGCCAAAACAATTTCAAAACAATTATTTTCTATCATTTTGTACTTAAAAAACTTATAAATAAAATTTTAAAGTCGTAAGAACTAATCTTTTTTATGTATTTCAGTTGCGCGACGGACTGAAAATCGGCCGCCAAATAGACAAAGATGAACGGCGTCGCTTCGCATTTTTTACTGAAATTTTGTTGAGTGAACTATAAACAAAAAATCGCACGATCTTCTCGTACAATTTGGAATTAAYAGACACTCGTAATGTTTTGAAAGTTCTTTAATTGCACTCGCCTAAAGGCTCGTGCAATTACCAGAACTTTCAAAACATTACTCGTGTCTATTATTTTCAAAATTGTACTCGAGATCGTGCGATTTCCTATACAAATTGCACGACAGGAAGAGGACAATTACCATTATACATAGTACTAGATTTGTCAGTATCAATTTTTGATTTTATTTCATGGTTCTACTGAGTGACTGTGCTCTAACCGGGATTCTATGGTATTCACAAATACCAACAGTARATSAAAGAATTAATGCACAAGTCAATACAAACGCTTTGAAATTCCATGGTCCACGTCTTGACCCTGGGTAGCCTGGAGCGTGATGAAGGGAATGAATAGAAGGCCGGCGCATATCACAGAACGAGCTAACTTTAATCCAGCCCATATATGGATAACAAGGCGTCTGGTTTGGGTCGCCGTCCGCGGAAGTCGTGGAATACATCACGTGGGTGACGTGATCCACCTTTGGCCAGGATTGTGTCTCGAAATCTAGACAATTGAAAATGTTGGCAAATACGTTACGAAAGGACGTTTCATGGGAGGCCAATTTGACCGGTATTTAAAACTGGATTCCCGTATATGGGAGCTGGAATCCGGGTTATCACTTACACTACTTTACCTTTCTCATTCAGGGACGGCGCAGTTTTTTTATTGGGGGGGGGCTCAATAGTGACATTGTATGGCAAGGTGGGGGGGGGGGGGCTGCGTTTTGTGAAAATGTATTAAAATTTCACAAAAGCTTTCCCCGGTTCCGCCGTCCCTGTCATTTTCGACCACGTGTCATTACCTAGAGTAACATTTCTTTGTTTTACATTTGCACATGAGAAAACACATTATTATGGATACGACTCAAACAAAGAATCTTATTCTCAAGAGAATGATATGTGGTCTGAAATGGGAAAACATTACACCCAAAGTAAAGAGGTCTATTTCAGTTGAAACGTTTTTTCCCATATACTTAAGCATATACTTAAGCTATCTCAGTGGCGGATCCAGGGCAGGGTCGGGGGGGAGGGGGGATGGAGGTTGGCCCTTTTGTCATAACTGAGGTCCTATTGATTGTTTAACCCTAGGATTGAGTATAGTATACGTTTGGCGCCCCATCCCCCAATATTCCTTGATCCGCCCTTGCATCTCTTCCACAAGTCTGAGTTACCTTTGCAACTTCTATTTCATTGTAATTGTTCTTAGGAACTTCTTTAATTACTTACTTTCGTCCAATACGAGCTAGCTCGCTTCTGTTTTCCAAYCCGACCTCTTGAAAAGCACTAAATGCGTCTGCAGACATCACCTGCGTGGGAAGGCAAAACATCAAGTTATCTAAGGTCCGATTTCAGAGTACTGACACTCGAAGAATGAACACTTCAACGTTTTTGTTTTACATTTTTCCATAACTWTTCAATCACAGCTCTCTTTAAAGGCGGAAAGTCTTTAGATGTTTTATTTTTAGCTCACTTCGWGTGAACTAATGAACTGCTGGACTGTCGCCCAAAGTGAAAACATTCCATAATTTACAGAAATAAAGCAAAACTATCGTTCATCGACGAAGAAGTTGTTACTGAATTTTAAAAAATTTTAACGGCAACTACGACCCAAGGGGCTCTGAAATTGAACGAAAAAATGTTGGAACTTCTGTAAGAATCTGGCTTCTGATTGGATTATTCGACAAATGTTKAAAAAACCTTGAAGTGTTCATGGTTTGAGTGTCCACACAGTAAAATGGAAAGTTTCCTTTTGAAATATGGCCAAACGAAAAAACATAAACTATGAATACTAAGGTTAAAGATCTTATTGTAAAAGATACCGAAACAAACGGCAACCTTCTTTCAGCCGAAAAACTCCTGCTTGGAATTTAAAAAAAAAAATCATGTACGTAATTTGCCATTTGTTCTAGCCTTTGTACAGCTGTTTTTTCACCTCTCTCCCTTGCATGCACTGACCGTTTTTCCTTTCATCACTCAACACAACGAATCAATAAACATATTCCTAGTTCAATTGAAATAAGAATTAAAATGAGGRAATAGGGATTTTGCTTCAGCTTTTAAACTTCAAACGTTTTAAAAAAAAACTAATTTTCGCTTTCTATTATTTAAACTTCGAATACTTCGAATTTTGTCACTTTTTTGCGTTGTTAAAACAAATCTTTAATACAATTAAGTGCTCTTTGGTTTACTGATCAAATCACACCAGGCCAAAGAAACCGGCCAAAGTTCAGGTGAATTAACCGGCTACTATTTATCTACATCTCCCCAGTTCTGAAGATAATCAATTGAATGCAGACAAAAGAAGTGTACAAGGTTGAGTAATTCTCGAAAAAAACCCCAATGAACTGGCAGTTTCCCAGGTAATTCAATAGAAATATTCTGTTATCGCAAAAGCCAGATGACTAGTACGTGATCATCTTGAAGTAAACTCACTAAATATAACATCAAGCTAACAATCAGAAAAGCCATTCACCTTTTGCTTCAACTGGCGTCAGTATAACAGAGGGATTATAAGGTAGGCGGCTGTTACATGTATGTAGCATAGGCTGTGGTACATTTATATAGCATAGGAAAATATTTTTTTTAATTAACAGTTTCCCTGGCCGAAAAAAAGGTCGAGCATTAAAAAACACAGTAGTTTTTCACAGTAGAATTTCTAGWGCCGATCCAGCTATAAAGATTAAGAAGACTGCGTTGCATTCGCAGAGAAATTAATATGGAAAGGTCTTAGGAAGCGCATCGGTGAGTTTTTAACTTGCTTGTCTCATAGAATCAGGATGCAAAAGCTTGGAATTGTTCTTCTTCTTCTTGTGGTCTGCATTCCCACCGTTTGGTTGGGAAAGCTGGTAAAAGGTGACCAACTGAAGCGGGTTCCTCGGAGCGTTGCGCATAACATGCAGAAACCTTCCAAAGAAAAAGGCTGGATAGGAGAGTTTGGAGTWGATGTGGATTACAGCAAAATGAGTAATGAAGATGTGTCAGARATGATGATGACGAAAATGCGTATGAAGATGAAACGAATGCTGCAGCCACTCAGAGACCTATTTATTAAGGTAAACAACTCTCAATATTTATTCCACGATGTCAGTAGTTAGTTCTAATACTGAGTTCATAATAACCGGGTTGATTGTATGTTTTTTTGTTTTTGTTTTTGTTTGGTTTTGACAACATTTTCGAGAGACATTTTGGAATGTTGCTGATAAGGAGGCCTCCGTTACTTTGTAATTGTTCTTTCTTTTAAAACCCAGAATGCAGTAAAAATCACACTACTATTTGAATCTATTAAAAACATGAATTTCGGAGGAAAAAAATGATATTTGATATTTGAATAAGTGATATAGAGAATATTACATGGGCGCGCGGTGATACGAAATTTATCTTCGAGTGTTGAAAAGATCTCTCACGAGTGAGCGCAGCAAACAAGTGAGAGATTTTCTACACGAGAAGATAAATTTCGTATCACCGCGCGCCCATGTAATATTCTGTTTATCATATATTTATCCATAAAATCAACTTAATAAGCTTTTTATCATTATAACTAACTAACTAATAGCTTAAATACGGAAGGTAACGATATTTTCACATGTGAAAATAACATGTTATTATCACATGTGAAAATATCAGTTTTTCGAAAAGGAGAAATATAGGTATTTTATGGATAATTATATGATAAAAAATGATATTTGAATAAGTACTCTATTTCTTCCTCTTACTTTTCTGTAATTTACTAAGTCTCTTTTCACCAGGTACTTGACCTAGGACCCAAACAAACCATTCCAGGAAGACCAGCATTCTGTGGTAATCGCGAGTGTCCACAACACACAGTTTTGAAAAAACACGAACATTATGAACTGAGGTCATACCCGGCAGCACGTTGGRTCAGCACCAACATGCAAGGTAACTGAATACTATACTAATATCGATGTCAATGCGTATGCTATCCGGTCAGTCGAGGTCTAAAGGAACACGCCATAACCAGCCATGCACTGACACAGCTGAGTTGATTAGCAAACGAGACATGTTATTAATTAACATTTTAGAGTTAAGAAGGGGGGAGGGGGGAGGGGGGTATTTACATCTTCTTTCCTAAATCCAATTCATGTCCGACAGAATTCCAGTATTTAAGCAAAGTAGTCTATTGGTTCATAGTTATACACAAAATTAATGAACTAATTTAGTTGAGCTCATGTGCTTACAATAGAAACGAGCTTCAACATAATCAAAACTGAAAAAACTATAATTCATCGCCTTTCCTATTTAACATGCCTTCTGATTRGCTGTACGAGCGGGCGGTATTTTCTCAGTATYTGTACGCGGTTAGAYATCCTGACGTCATCCGCACKTGAACWTAGGATAACGGRTTGCTAAACAAAAACTGTGCAGTCTGTCTTTCAAACGTACATTTAAGACCTCGGGCACAGTTTTTCCCTTTCTGGACCTCCTGGCCGGTAAATAACATACATATCCTTTGTGTATATCCAATAGTGTTG